CTCCTTGCAAGCTTCTCCTTGCAACCAGTTGCCAGCTGCCTGTGCCGCTGCTGCACCAGCGTCATCCCTAGGCAGCCCCATATGCTGACCTGCTCCATCCTGGTTTGGGAGCTGCTGGGTCAGACCAATTACTGAATTCACACCAGCTGTGCGCAGCCGGGGGCAGCATCCTGCCGAGGAGCGGCTCGTGCAGGCTTCCTTCCCTCCCACTGCAGGTCCACAATCAAAGTCATGTTATTTTCCAGGTTCAGCCCTCCAGTACCAAAATTTTTCACCAAACCTCAACCACGAAAGGAGGAGGGATCCTGGTCGGAGCGCTCAGTGTCTGCAGGGAGCAGCTGCAGGGATAGAGATGTGGAGGAGCCAGCTGAAGCCCTGGGAGCCACAGGAGATCCTGCCCAGGAGCCAGCAGATGCAGATGACTCCCTGGAATCAAAGGTAGATTTTCTTGTACACCTACCGCTTGCGTTGCCTCCCCCATCTTGCCACTGAAAAGCCGTGCTTGTGCCAATCCCCCTTTTTGTTGCCCTGCTGTCATGTGCCCTGAGGGTGGGCTGGCAGTAGGGCCAGTGGCTGGACGTGGGGCTTCTGGGGGGGGAGAAATTGGATAGTTTTGCTTGGAGAAGCCCACTGAGATCCTACAGACCTATGCTGAGTTTGGGGGGTTTTAGCTTATTTTTACACTGTAAAATGAGCCTTTTATCTGCATCATGATGTGAAGGCTTCCAGTTTCCTTCCTGTATCAAGCTGTGCCAAGTACTGTGATCTCCAGGTACCACCTTCTCACCCCCAGCTGGAGCCGCTTGTTTTTATGTCTCTGCCTTCACCCGAGACCTGCAGTATCGCAGGGATGGCCACAGAGCCATCTTTGATAAAATGAGACTTTTCAAAGTCATTGTCTCTTCCTCCTGGCATGAAAAATGGCCTTTGGTCTGCTGACCTTCCTGGTGAACCTCGGTGCTTTGGAGCTTGATGTCCGTGCTGGTGGGAACTGGCGCCTTGTTCTGCACTGTGTGGGACAGAGGCTGCTCCTGGGGCAATAAAAGAGGATGCAAGAAAGCATGGGAAGTTCTGAAAGCACTGGCGTTGACATTAAGTTCAAGGAGAGGGGTTGCACCTGCTCACATCCAAACTTTGGTCATTTTAACATTATAACGGCACATTTTTTCTGGATCAGGAGAAATGATACCCCGTAGACGTAAAGAATAGCGTGGCTGATTTTTTTTTGGATAGAAGCGTGGAATCTTCTTTATTTCCTGCTTTGTTGCCATGTATGCAGAAACAAACCAGAGAAAATCAAGTAGATGTGGCTAAGTAGGATCCAAAAGGCTTCAAAGCATACGTCTGGATGGCAGCTTCCCCTTCTGCTTGTGTGACTGTGTCAAGGCAATATCCACATAACCTCCCTGGGGAGGTGGGAGACCATAGGCCTAGGAAAGTTGTGGGTAAGAATCTTTGGGAATAGGCACTTGGCAAAGCTTTGCTAGGCTTGAAAATGTGGAGATGAGACAAAGAGCACTGAATCTTCTGATTCTGAGCTTCATCTACCGGGGAGATGTAGCCTCTGATTAGGTGTAAAGATGTCCCATAAAAATTCTTGCAGATTCTGCTGATGCCAAGGCCCCAGCAAAAAGCACTTCTTCACGTTACTGAAGAAGCAGGTATTGCCACACTTCAAAAGCACTCACAAAGCCCTCGCTTATTAAATAGGGGATGAGGTTCCTTTTGAAAGATGGCACCTCTGAGGTCAAACACCAGCTCTCAGCTGCTGCAAGACAGAACATCTCTGCCGCCTTCTTCAGGAAGGTGTCATTCAAGAGAGTGACCTGGTGGAGATCCTCAGCTCTCCAGCACTGATGGGTGCACGAGATGAAACCTAAGCACTCTCTGAAACTGGATAGTTGTGCCAAGCCCTTATTTTCCTGGTTTGATACTTCTTGCTTGCTGCTTTTGTCCTGAAGAACCTAACCTGTTGAGGCATGGGGTTCTGGGCACGTTCCCTGGGCGGGAGTGAGCAAAGCTGGTCTGGCACAAGGGTGCCAAATGCCCTTGAGGTCTCTGCCAGGACTGAGGGCTGTGTGCACTCAGCTTCACCATGCACGCTTGCGTGTAGGAAGTGCAGGCGGAGCCCGTGTCTCACCTGTGGGTGGGCTTGGACCCACATTCAACGGATGGCACGGACATACTTGATTTGCACCCAGGTCCCATCTCAGCTGCTCCTGGCTGGGTGAGGTGGCGGAGCCTGCAGCAGAGTGGTCTCACCCAGACCAGCTGCAGCCCATGGTGCTTGTTTTGCAGGTGCTGCCATCCCCTGCTGAGGAGCTGGAAGGGGCTGTGGAGACGCAGAGCCTGGTGGGGATCAACAAACAGATGCAGTTTGTGGAGGAAGAGCCCGTCAGCTTGGGAATTGAGGAGGTAAGTGGGAATCCTTCTTGTGCCACGTTTCCAGTGTGGCAAGCAGTTCTGTAGCCCCCCCTCCACACTGGTGGCCCTCGATGCTGCTCGCAGAGTGGCCTCGCGTCCCTCCAAGCCCATCGCACAGTGCTGCTGAAGTAACTGGTCACTGGAGAGGACACACAGGACATGTTGTAGGGCTGACCTGTGCAGCAGCTATGGAGGGCATTCTTCATCTTGTTGCTAATCAGGTGGTCAACAGGAAATTTCTGCGGTAGCTTTTGCTGTAGCATCTTGGGAGCGCACAGCATGTGAATCGGAGAGAGTGAAAAGCATCAGGAGTCAGATGAGCTGGGCTGGAGTCCTCCCCCCCAGCTCTGAGAGCTTTCACCTCTGAATACTGTGTTTTGCTTAGGGCAGTAAAAGGTGCTTTTAAAGGCACTTTCTGCAGTGGAGAGAATTTCTTGCTGCCAGGAGACATCCCAAATTACTTTTAATATGTAGTGTATTAATTAATGAGGGAGCATGGGACAAGGTTTTTCCTGTGGCCCCTCCACTGGTAAGTGGAATGGGTACAGGATGAGATTAGGGTGATTTTGCCGGTGTTTGAGGAAGAGCCCCCATGCAGCCCCGTCTGTACTTTGCTCCAAGCCGTGGCTGCTCTTCTGCATCAACTTCCATGCTTGATATCTTGATCTCGCCTACCTCCAGGTTTTCGATGTCCTGCCGCTCTACGGTGTGCTGCAGCCAGGCGAGAGCCAGCGGGTCATGTTCACCTTCTTTGGCCACACAAATATCGTCGCCCACGTCACGGCGTTGTGCAGGGTGGAGGGAGGCCCGACCTATGAGATTGCATTGAGTGGGGAGGCTTCACTCATCAACCACCTCCTAGACGTCACAGAGATCGACTGTGGGCTGCAGGTACCGCACGGCTCTCTTGGCAGAGGTCCTTGTCGTGAAACCATCACCCGCATGTTGCTGCCACCTAGGCCTGGGGCTCTCTCCCCTTCCCAACTACTTTGTTGGCTCTATGGCTTGGAAGTACAACCTTGGAGTGATATGTCCTGCATCCAAGCTGGTTTTTAATGACCATGTCCGCCCCCCTCCATCTGGGAATTCCTCCTCCTCAAGGTAACTAACGCCGCCTCCTGGGGCAGGCAGGGTCCCAGTGGCGATCTCCAGAGGGACGTGCCCCAAGACGTCCATCTGCTGATCCGCTTCTAAAGCCTGAGGTCCCAGGAGGCGCTCTCTTTTAATGTTCTTGATTAATCAGCAAAATAAACCAGGGAGGAAGTTAACTTGGGCTTCCCAGTCACTGTAGCTGGGAAGTCCTAGAATAATCCCCACTTCTTTTTGGTCAAAAACCCCACAGATATTTCCAGCTGTTGGCTCTGTCTCCCATTTTGCTGTCGCTGCAGGTGCTTTTTCTTCTGCAGTGTCTTGATGCCACCTCCTTTGTCCCAGCTTGGTGTGAGATGACACACCATGAGGTGCAGAGAGCTTGTCTCCTCTTTGCTTTCCTTATGACTGATCTCTGTGGTTGGCATTGCCCCTCTGCATGCCACCATTAGTGTCTGTTCCTGTATAGGGCTAAGGGGTGCCCAGTGGCGGTGGCTTACCCAGGTTACCCGGGGAAACTCAAGTGCCCGTACGTCCTCTGCCTCTGCTTTTCTCCTGCGTTGAGTTCATTTGCTCACATCCCAGTGAAAGCAGAAGGAGGTTCCCAGTATCAGGCCTGTGCCTTCAACTTGCCACTCCTCTGTCCTCTCTTCAGCTGTTTAACAAAGTCACCGAAGCAGAGGTCACCCTGCAGAACAGAGGGAAGATGGGCTTCAGCTACATGGTGCTAAGTCCCAGCGTGGGGACCGCAGACAGCCCCCTGCCCGGCGTGCCCCTGGTCCTGCCCAGCACGGTGAGTACGGAGGAGGCGCCCGGACCCTGGCTCTGGGTCACGCTGCCCAGGATGGGGTTGTGGGGGAAAAACACAAAATTATAAAAAAGGAAGCAACCCACAAAAGCAGACAGGAGAGACAGGGCTGTAAGCAGCTGCTGCTGGGGGGCAGGGGTGGTCCAGCAAGCGCTGTCCTAACGGCCTCACTTCACGGCCTTTGCCGGCGGGTGACCCTGCTGTCACACAGCAGCCACCGGCCAGAGGCACCAGCGCTTCCCTGGCTCTGTGGACCCCAACTGCTGAGCGCTCCAGCTGTGCGGGAACTGGGGCCGGGCTGTGCCCTGGGGGTCACCGTGCCCAGGCTGTGTGATCGGACAGGGCTTAGTCCTTGTCCCTGCCTGTAGCACACCCTACCAGGCCCCTGCCAGCACTGAGCAGGACTTAAATCCTCTCTCACTTGGGCATGAAGCTGCTTTGGCAGAAATTGTAGCAGGCACTCTTCCGGTCCCCCACTCCTCCAGCTTTGCTGCTTCGCAGCAGCTCTGTGGGGCAGTGAGGGGGCGAGGCAGGAGCAGGGCTGGAAGGCAAGGAGAGGAGATTGCATCATCCCACCGTCCCAACTTCTCAGTCCTACGTGGCTGTCTTTGGGCTGGAGCAGCATTCCTGTCTAGTCCCTTTTTGCAGTGGGAAGAGGAAGCCAAACGGCGTTCACATTTCCTCATGCCTGTCTCTTACACGGGGTGACACACTGGCGCCCTTCTCCTGCCAGCTTCCCAAGACCCAGCTCTGCTTGGCCCCGATCAGTCGCTGTAACAGCCCCACAGGTGCTGGCAGCTTGGCAGGGCTGGCTTTCACTGCAGCTGTGTTCTGCGCTGCACCAGGGGCTCAGGGCACCAAGTGACAAGATCTGTCCTGCTCAGCAGCTTCTCCCTGCAGCGTGAAGGGGAGCAGGGAGCCGAGGGTCCAGCCCAGCATGCAGGGCTGTGTTGCTCTCTGCTTGCATTTGCTCTCAGCCTGGTTGGCATGAGCCTAGCCTGGGGCTGGGGCAGCCTTTCTGGAAGCCCGGAGAGGAGGTGCTCTTCCTGGCAACACTTTCCCTAGATCTCGTCCTAGTCTCTGCTCCTGGCTTTCCAGAGATGCATGTTTGCAGGTCACCATGAGTCTGGATAGGCTCACGCAACCCGGTGTAACCGCACAGGCAGGAGGTGTTTGGTTGGGATCATTATAAGGGGTCAGGCCCTTCAACACCAGCCTGGGAACCACTGATGTGCTGTGGCAGGAGCTGCTGGCCATGCTGAGAGTGTGGGCACTTGACTTATTTTGCATAGTGGCTGCTAAAAGAGCTTTTATTTCTTCAGTCTGGCTCTTGCTAGCAGAGGGTAAAGACCATTAGGGACAGAGCTGTGCTCATGCTGAGCAGGGGGTGGTCTGTGGGTCTGTCCTGGGGGAATGCATCCCTACGGGCCCTCCGGAGGACCTGGTGTGGGAGAACTCAGCTTCTGTGATTCTGTGAAAGCTAGAAGGCGATGTTGTCTGATACTTTCTTATGTACGAGAACCTGCCTTCTCTTCTCGGCATGTCTGTGGTCTGAGCCATCCCTCCACCAAACCCTCTCTGGTGCATTCTCTCCCTCTTCTCCCACACCCTGCAGGGTTATGTTGGACCTGGCAAGGAGCAAGTCCTGAAAGTCTACTACCTACCAGGAGTGCCCGGAGCCTTCCACAGGACTTTCCAGATCCAAGTGGGTCACCTGGAGCCTGAAGAAATCTCCCTGAAAGGAGAGGGGAGCTTTCCCAGCATCTACTTGGACCTGCCCAGGAACATCAAAGGTGAGCACGGCCTGTCTGCTCCCCAGGAGAGGCCCCTGTTTCTCCCCCATGTCAGATGCCTGTAGGGCAGCTCACACCTGCCTCCACCAAGCCTGGAGGTTTCAGGGCTGTCAGACCAACACTCAACCCACCCGTTGCTTCCTGAAGCTCTGGCAGATGCGCCCGTATGGGCTTTGCCCCAGGAACCATCCTGCAGAGCTTGCCAGCATGTCAGAGCCCTGGGAAGGTGATGGCTAGACAGAAATGCTCTGGAAAGCTGAGCACAGGCTGGCAGGGATTTTGACAGGGTTGGATTTGCAGCACATTGCAGGGGATGAGATGCTCCTATGTGGGGAGGAAGATGGGTAGGAAAGAACATCAGGGTTGATAGAGAAGAAGCAGCATCTACTTTCCATACATTGCTTGGGGAGGGTGTTTCTGGGAGAGGACAGAGTCAGGGGAGTGGGGCTTCCCAGCTTCAAGGGGCATGGTGCTGTGCCCTGCTTCTATTTGTGGATGTTTTCTTCCTTCAGGAAATGAAAAATATGAGAAGGTCCTCAAGGAGGTGATAGAAAAGATGGAAGAAGACAGCCAGAGAGAGGGAGCAGCAGTTCTGGGGGCAGCTGTGGCCGCGGAGCCACCCCCAGATCCCTTGGACACCGTGGTGAGAATGGCTGCTGCCCCGTTTGACGCGTGCCACCCTCCCCCAGTGTCACTGGGTCCCTTGCAGCCTGCAGCAGGCTTCCCGGTGCCCTGCTGGCACTTGGGACCTCCCTGCCCACACCTGCCCAAGATCGTGCATCAGCTCATCAGTGCCCCCGGGGCTGCCCCAGGGAAAGATCCTGAAGACCCTGCTCAAGTGATGGAATTTATGGTACTTCATGATGGAGATGTAGGTCATCACTGGGGTATTTGCTGCTCACAACCCAAGCCCTGCCAGGTTTACAGAACTTAATACAGCAGCCTGACTGTGCTCCGGGACTGTGCTGCCAGTGCTGATCTCTAAGAGACAGCAGCTTTATCATGACTCCCTTTACAAGAGAGCTCTTGTCTGAGCTGCTTTGACAGTGGCTGGGGGCAGACAAAGACTTGAAGCTCTGGAAAGTTCCTGGCTTGTCTGTCTGGCCAGATCAGCTTTTGTAACAGTGACTGGGCAGGCAAAGTTGCTGGAGTTCGTTGCCCTTGAGATGAGGCCCTGACTGAGAGAGCAGGAGGTGTCACAGACACTGAGCAGCGAGACAGAAGGACCCTGTCACCCCTCTCAACATGAGCAGGGGGGGAGCCTTGGGAAGGACCATTGCTAACCAGCTGCTGCCTTTCCTTCCCTCAGCTGGACCCTGGGCTGCAGATGCAGATGGAGCAGCTGCTGATGGAAGAACACGCCCTGGAGCAGCAGAAAGCCTTCACCTCTGGTCCCCCAGAGGCCACTGCCTTTGACCAGCGTGCTCGTCAGAGGCTTCTCAAGTTAGTAGGGGCTCCTGTACCATGTCTCCAGGTGCCCCGAGGGTAACACCCAGCAGTGCACCCCTGCTCCTGAGAGCTGGGGGTAGTGGGGACTTCAGAAAGGGTCTGATCCTGGTAGCTTTGCCGTGCTCCCTGTGAGCAGCTGAGTGTCCTCACTGCCACAGAGCCACCCTGAGCTTTGGAGGTGCTCAGCTCCCCACAGGTGCTGGGTCCTGCTCTTAGGGCCGAGGGGGCTAGTGCAGAGCATCAAGCCCTTCCAGACAGCACCAGGACCATCCCTGCTGACCAGCTCTGAAAGAGGAAACTCAAATCTTTGTTCCAGCTAACAGACCACACTGAGCAAAACAGAGTAGGGAACCGCAGAGGCTGACACACCCTTCACAAATCAGGTGGCTCTGATGCTGGTGGGACTGCAGGGCTTACCTCGGTATCTTCCCTCTGCTCCTCCATGAGGAGGCACGGGCACGGTAGCCTCCAGTTAGGGAAGATACTCTGCAAAACAGATCATGTATGTGCTTTCCCGAGTGAGATTGCTCTAGGAAAGGCCCCTCCCATGAATCTTGCAGGTGTTGATTACCACATTTGTCCGTGCTGCTTTGGGGACAGATGTGGTTGCAGAGCAGTGAAGATTTCCTGTGCAGGCGAATCCTGTGACAAGGTCCTGAAGCACTTTCAGGCTGGGGCTGTACATGGGGCTTAGCAGTTTCACTGAGACCATTGGAGGTCCACTGGACTTACCTACAGTGGCTTTCCATAGCAGAGGTGCTGTGATAAATGAGTATTCATTTTAAACTAGTTTTATTTTAAGGCCCCACTAGTAGCTGATAAAACCTAGGTCCTATGCTCCTGGTGACTTACCAAAGTCTTATTACCAGGTGGTCAGGCCTTGGATTTCATGGTCTTGAGTTGAGTTTTTGCAACAGTGAATCCAGAAATATTTTATTTGCATCTTTCATGCTCTTGGGAATGTGGCCAGGCTGTGGTTTAAGGACTGTCCTTACTCCTCCTTTCAGAGCTGAGCTGCCTGAGTACCTCCTGGACTTTGGGTACGTGATTCTCGGTAACACCCCCACGCATGTCGTGAGGATCACCAACACCGGGCAGTTCCCTGTGTCCTTCTGCGCTGACGGACGGGTCCTGCGTGGCACAGGTAACCAGTGCTGGAGAGCCTTCACATGGGCTCGAAGGAGCTGTCTCTGACAGATTAACTTAAGCCACTGGATATGGGGAGGTTTTTTGAGTGCTTGTATGTATAACTTTTTCCTCCTTGGGACCTGCTGCCTGGTGCTTTAGAGCCTGAGTCATCCTGGCCAGCAGCGCTCAGAGACCCGGCCCGCCCGGGCCTGCCCTAACACTTCCCTGCTGGGGCTGGGTGGGCTGATCACCTTGGTCACCTCCCAGCATCTTCTGCTCTTGGCTACCATGAGCATGATCTGATGGGCACTCCATGAGCTTGAGTTGCAAACAGATGGACCCTTTGTGGTTTGGAAGTGCTTTGTTCAAAGTTCATCATGCCATAGCACTTCTGTTCAGCCTTTATTGAGAAGACAGCCTGTGAGGTCCTCTGTTGTATCAAAACAGGCTTTGAAACAGGCCGTGACGTAAGGCTGCCGCACCAGCAAACAGTGCCTCGCCGTGTCTGAAGGGTGATCAGGTGCCTCGTCTAAATTGTTTTTCAGAGAGCACCATGGCATGGGGGAATCTAATTAGTTGGAAATTCTCCTCTGGAGAGGTCTGTGCATCCTTCCTTGGGATGCCTAGTGAAGGAATGGCTGGAGCTCCTCAACTGAGATGTTTCCTTTTTACCATGTGGGTCTTGGATTCTGGCTGTGAAAACCCTTTCTCCCTGTGCAGTGACAAGGGAGAAGGAGTGGCAGTCTTCTCCACAGGTACAAAGGGGTCCTTCACAGAGCTGCCAGCCAGGACATACGGCCTTAACGTGCTTGTGACACATTCATGTTGATTGTGTATCTCAGCCGCTTTATTTTCATCTGTTCAAGGTTTCAGTGTGGAGCTGGACCGCGTGAAGCACCTGCCCTGCCGTGAGAGCAAGACATTTGAAGTGTGCTTTGACCCACAGAGTGCCAACTTGCCGCTGGGAGAGGTGGACGTGCTCCTGCCCATCAAGGTACCTGCGACGTGCTTCCTCGCCCCGCTGTGCCTATGCGCCTCTCGGGGCAGGCTGGGGACAGCAGCAGATGTGACCGGGGCTCTCAGCTGGATGCTCTGTCCTTCCCTAGGTAGCAGGAGGCCCCACGTTCCACGTCCGCCTCCGTGCCAGCGTGGCCATGCCAGCCCTCTGCGTCTCCAGGGACAGACTGGAGTTCTCCACTCTCCAGTGTGGGCAGTGCCAGGAAGAAACCATCCAGCTCCACAATCAGCTCCAGGTCCCCTGTAACTGGTTCATCACTATAAATGAGCCTGTTAAGAAGGTAAAGCACAGACCACGTGTAACACGTACCTTCTCGGTTGGGTTTCCTTTGCCTCTCTTGCCCTTTCTGCTCCTGTGGCTATGGGAGCACTTGGGCTGCAGCTCATCTGAGGAAGCTTTGGAGGCTACAGAGCAAGGCTGGCTCACCTGGACCTGGGCATTAGCTGGTGCTTCACTTCTTTGCCACCTTCCCCTGCTCCTCCTCTTCTGAGGATGGTGCCTCCCCATCTGCCTGCCCTGCCGACATCTTTTCCCTCCAGTTCAGGCCAGGGGTGGCCTCAGCACCGTGACGGTGTCTCAGTGCACTGCAGGGACCGAGGGTCTGTCCTCTCAGACCGAGGAGACTTCACACAATTGTTTTTTGTGCTCAGGTGGACAAGCATTGGCCAGCAGGGGTGCATCAGAAGGTGCCCAGGAAGTTGAAAACCCAGCCATGTGTCTTCGAGGTGCTGCCCTCGGCTGGAACCCTCGCTCCGGGACAGCGATGCAACGTCCGAGTGAGGTTTTCACCCACAGAAGAGGTGAGATGGGCGAGTATCACCCCCAGACAGTCTGGCAGGGCGGTGTGGTAACGAGAGCCCAGCACAGGGAGGAGGAGACGGCGTCTGCCTCCACAGAGAGCTTTCTGCAAGCCCCGTACCCACTGTGCCTCAGTTTCCCCTGCAGCACACTCTTCTGAGAGGGGCTTTGAAATCCCCCTGGGGAGCTTGCTCAGAGAGCATCAGGGCACACTGGGGTGGCTGCCTCTTGGTGCATGGGGGGAAATCTGCCTGTTTGCCCTCGTCTCCCCCTTGCAGGCGCCTGATTGAGGCTGCAGCGCCCTGGTGCAGAGCAGCTGGCGCTCTCACAGGGGATAAGCCTGCAAGGGCCAGTCTAGGCAAGTCCTGCTGCTGGTACCAGCAGGCAAAACAGCCACCGGGCACCTTCCTGGGCACGGCAGGACAGTCGCCTGGAGTGGTTGCTGCCAGCAGTCCCTGTGGCTCTGGCTCAGCCTGCCTGCACGTTCCCAGGCACTCTGGGAGTCAGCTGAAATGACGGGGCGTTCCCAAAGGCAGTTTGCCTGTGGCCACCGTGACTTGGAAACTGGCATTGGGTAACAGGATGGACACAAGTGCTTCCATGCCTGGGAACAGTCCCAGGGATGTTTTAATTGCTGTAGAGGTGTAACCATCTTGTGTCTGGCTTTGACCAGAGCCAAACACTGAGCAGAGAACACAAACCTTATTTCTAGCCAGTGAGAGCTCATCTGCTCATTCATCAAGCTGATGTTTGCCTGATGCAGCAGTGCCAGGACTGTGTTTGGGCAACTTAACCCTCAGGACATTTCTCATGAGCATCACACTCCCTTGAGACTAGGTGAAAACATCTGATAGTACATTTTAGATTCATCTGACACCGATATAGCTAGTTAGACTTCACATTAGGATTCATCCCAGTTCCTCAGAGCCAGCATGCAGGTGCTGTAGCCCCTGCTGGAAGTAAACATCTGTTTTCCATTCCCCTTAGAGGTACTGGTGACACCCCTGCCCTGGGGCAAGAGTTGAATTTGAGGCCCTGTAACCTGGGACTTCATGGAGGAGCTTTCTGTGCCTCTCTCTTTTCAGAAGTCCTACAGAAGTGAGATGAAGATTAATGTTTGCCAGAGCAGCCAGGACCTCCAGCTGCAGGTCTCGGGGCGTGGGCTGGAGCCACGGCTGGAGTTCAGCCCCCCAGTGCTCGAGCTGGGACCGTTGCTGCCGTACAGCCATGGAGCAGAGGGGACGGTGGTGGTAAAGAACCCCTGCGACTTCCCAATCGAGTTTTACTCTCTGGAGTTCGACCAGCAGTACCTTGCTGAGGAGCAGGTGAGAGGGAAGCTCTGGTCCCCATGTGCACGCTCCCGTAGCTTCACAGTGCTCCAGCATTCCCGGGTTCGTGCCAGGGAGATGGAGACAGTCCCCAGGGCAAAGCCTGGTGGCATTTCATGGTTAGCCAGCTCTGCTGGCAGACTGTGGAGGGGCCTAGATAGTCCATGTTGTTAGAAACACGTCCTGCATATGGCTTCTCTTCCCTACATGTACAGATCCTGCAGATGCTTAAAGACTATGACTGCCGTAACACCTTATTGCTGCCTCCGCGTGCCCCGGGTGAGAAGCTGCCCCCGGAGGTTCTGGAGTACTATCAGGACCAGAAGAGGCTGCAGGATGAGCAGTCCGAGACTGGGGAACCAGCAGGCCAGGACAACGGTGAGGGTTTGGCATTGGCTGTCCTGAGTGTGGATACAGCGGGGAGTCCAGCCCACACACCCTGAGCTCTCCACGGGAAGCCCAGGCTTTCAGCAGCCACCCATTCCCCAGCTTGGTGGAGGAATTCCAGCGTGAAAGTCTGTGGCTTGTAACACACAAACTTTGAAGATGTCCAGTCTCTGTCAGATCAAGGAAGAAAGTCCTCTGCTGGGATCATTCACACTGTCTCATCCCAGAGCTCATTCGTTTTCTCCTCTGTGTTTGAAGAAAGCCAGTCCAATGAGGTGGACTCTAAATCTGAACACAGAGGAGAAGGAAGGTGTTAAGAAAAGGCAGGGGATGGGTATTGTTGCAGACAGGGCAGGGACAAGTGAGAGGCCAGAGAGGTTCTCCCCAGTTTTGCCAAATGAGCACCTTTTCCCCCAGGAGCTGCTGGGATCAGGGTGATGCTGTTCCCTTTCCTAGGCAGGGCAGCGTGCTCTCTGTCCTGCATGACACTGCAAGCCGAGATGGCTTTTGGTGACCTCCTAAGGGCAAAGGTGGGAGCTCTTTGCAAATGTGTTAGGTGAATTCAGAGCCCAGCTACATCTCCTGGAGTAATATTCCTAAAACATCCAGCTTTGGGATAATCACTTGATGTACAAATGGAGCCTCTCCCTTGGGACAGCGTAAAATGCCTGGTTCAGCCTGTCCGCCCCTTACTCAGCAGGACCTGGGACCACGTTGATAGGTGACGGGAGTCCTGTTAGGTATTGCCAAATGCTTGTTCTTTCCTCTTTCTGCTAGCCCATTTCCTATACTCTGAAGAGGCACCTTGACCACCATCTAGGGCAGACTCTGATCTGCACAAGCCTAAAGGAGGGGCATGGTGAGACCTCGGTGTGGTGTTGGTTTCAGCAGAGTCTTCTCTCCCAGGATCTGAGGGGATGGGGAGGATGATCAGGGTCATAGGTAGGCAGGAGGCTCACTTTTCTATCTGGTTCCACACAGCAAAGCATGGGCAGAGCATCACCAGCAGCAAGGCGGTCGCGGGAGAAGTGGCCGACAGCCCTGTCCATAGGGCCATCGCCCGCCACCTTGGCATCGATATCTCTGCAGAGGGGCGCGCGGCCCGAGACCGCAGAGGGATCGTCATCATCGTCCATGGGGCACCCCTGACAGGTAGGTGAGCCGAGCCCGTGGCTGCAAGGAGGGCGGGGGGAGCAGGAGAGACACATCCTGGTGGGCTGTGGTGCTTGGTTGACTAGTTGAAGCGAAGCGAGGTAAGCCACAGCCCTGCTGGTACATGAAATCGTCCCAGGCCTTCACCAGCTGGGGCAAGTGCTGTGGCTCACCCTGTGTCCACACAGCCAGGCTATCCTCCCCCCACACAGGGTGGCCGTGTCCCCGTTGCTTGGTGGGAGCACGGTGCCTAGTGCCCAGGTTGCCTCATGGGCGCGGTCCCTCGCCCACACTGACCCCCAGCCCATGCCCAGACTTTGCCTGAGGCAGCGCCGGCCAGCACAGGGGTGGCGGGACCGGGCTCGAAATAATGTCCTGGCCCAGGCTTGAGGTCACCACGAGGGACAAAGTGCTCAGCTGGGTGTGAGGTGGAAGTGATCCGCCTAGCTCTAGAGGACAACGCTTCCAGCCATGCTCAGCTCCCTCCTTCGTGGTCTCCCCTAAAGGGGCACTTGATTTCCCACTGTCCTTGAAACTTTGAAATCCTGTCTGGGGACTTTCTAGAGCCTGTCCCTGAAAGCGTTTCATGTGCAAGTGTCACCAAGCAGTCTTCCTCTCTCCCAAGGAAAGACAGCGGCAGCAGTTGCCCTGTCCAAATACTACGGCGCTGCCTGCTTGTCCATCGACACCGTGGTGACAGAAGCCATCTCGGACAGGAGCAGCTCGGCAGGGCTGCACGCCCGGGAGCTGTGCACCAGGGCTGCCATCGAGCAGAGCTGCAAGGAGGCAGAGGGTGCTGGTAAGGAGACACGCTGGACCCAGAGCAGCGCTTCAGAAACCCACCCTGACCATCCACTTCTGCTTGCTGCAGAGAGGGAGTCTGACAGCCCTTGGGTCTCTTAGGGAACATGGGTGCAGCGTGTAGAAATGCAAAGCCATTTCATAAAGCCTTTCATGTTATTAAAGAAAATAATCTCTGTTTTAAGGGCTCAGACAGGGGCACTTTTACTGCCTCTGGGCTTCTCATCACATACTCCTTTTCCTAGGAGTGGTGAAGCACACCTGTATTTTTCTCAGGTGTTTTTTTACATTTCCTCAAAGCTGAATCCAGCTGACTCCTCGTGGCCATCAGGCAGAACTGCTGCCCACTTGAACAAGGAAGAAGCCCTCTGAAGCTGCTCGTGAAGCACTAGACAACCGACTTTGAGTGCGGCTTCAGAAACATGAGAGGAAGGGAAGAATAACCTCCCAGAGTTTCAGATGAGATTCTTTTCTCCAGAGGTTTCCCTATACACGCTGTCAGGTCACACAACTCGTGCATGTGGTGCTGTTCTGCACCTGAGACCAGAGACTTTTAGAGAACCTGGTTGGGCAGTTGGTGCCCCGAGCTCTGCAGGGTGAGGCCAGACCCTAATTCTGGTGGGGGAAGTTTTGCATTGCTCAGCCTTGAACCTGGTTGGGTTGGGAGCTGGTGGAAGGAAGAAGGGTCTGGGCCCCAGGTGGGGTTAGCCCATGCGGAGGATTTAGCTCCCGTGGAGATGGGGATGCAGCTGGGGCAGGGCTGCATGTTACCGTCTCCACGTGAGAATGCCGTATGGGTGCAAGGTACAGAAATGATGCTCCTGGAGGATGGAGCCTTGGCTTGATCCGTAGGGGAGCTACTGTGCGGGGTCACCTGCGTGCACATTTGTGAGGAGGGACGCGGAGCTGTGCCTTAAAAACTCTCTGGCTTTAAAATCCAGTATCAGGTGGTGTGTTTTACCATGCTAAAAAGAGAAGCAGGGCAGGAGCTGCTTCTGGAGATGAGTGCTGCTAGTGCCCGGCAGGCTGGGGGACGAGGGCCATGTCCCTGCCAGGGCGCAGGGCTGTGCCCATTGGGGTGGAAGGTGCCTGCTTGCTCCCCACTGAGCGTCTGTCCCCTCCGCAGGTCACAACGCAGATGAGTCCCTCGGCAAGCAGTTCCGCACCAAGGCCAAGCGCAGCCGAGACACAAGCCGGTCCAGCTCTGTGGACAAAGTCAGTCTGCAGTCCGTCAGCTCCCAAGGCCAGGTGAGCGCTGTGGCAGGTGAGAAGAAGACGGATGGCCCCACAGCCCGATCCCAGAAGCAGCATCTGGTGGATCTGACAGGCTCCCAGGTGAAGCACAACCTGCACTGGTTAATGCCTGGGACCTTTCTGTTGCCTATGAGAAGTGAAGGGGCTGCTTCCAGTGGAGGCTCTGTGTCACCCAGAGCCTGGTGCAGGGATCTGTAGTGCAGAGAGCCAGCTGGGCAGGCTGGGCATGGCTCGGGCTGGGAATGAAACCCTGGCAGAAACACTCTACGGCATCTCAGCCGTTTGTTGGCAAAGTGCAGTCCTGGCTAATGTGGCTGCAGCCGTGGGCAAAGCTGCGGGATGCTGCGCTGGGGGCTTGAGAGCTTGGGTCTCTGCTGGCCACGCACGCACCCTCCAGTGTGCTCCCCTGGAGCTGCTGGCCTGCAGTTTTGCTCTAGTCTCCTGCTAGTGAGAAACCCCAGCTCCAAGACCAGCAGTTGGAATTGTTTGGGGGTTTCCAAAGCGGTTGATTTTTCTGGTAGCGTTCAACATTGCACGGCTCATCAAGTTCTCGCCTCTCTCCCCTTCCCTGCATTCCTGCGCAGCAATCGCTGAACATTGGTGACAGCACATCAGGAGAGATGGGCTTTAGGAGCTGCGTGCTGCCCGAGGACCTGCTGGTGGCCATCCTCTCTGACAGGCTGCAGGTACGTGGGGTGGGGGCGTTCTTGCTACAGAGAGACAGGCAGCGAGGTGCAATTCAGAGAGGAGGAGGAGGGCTGTGCCTGCTCTTGGAGGAGTCCTGGGCTGCATGCAGGGATCCGTGGGTGAAGGTGCAGATGCCATAAGCTGGCAGAGCGCGCGGGAAGATCAGAGCTTGTCTGAGCTGCTGCACTTGGAACTGTGATGGCTGGTGATTTCTGACGTCAGGCTTTAGTGACTGGCTGAGAGCCCAATGCGTGCGACAGCTGACTTTCTCTTCCTTTTTGGCTTTATCTGCAGCTGAGCGACTGCTACCAGGGAGTGGTGTTTGATGGCCTGGAGACCCTCTTTGCACGCAACACGGCATCTGCTCTCCTCTGCCTGCTCAAAGCTGTCAGAAATCGGCCTTACATCTATTTTGTGAACCTGTTCCAGGATTATCCTTCTTGGAAAGCCAGAGAGATGGCCGCAAAAGAGCAGGAAGGTGAGACTCCACCTCTGTAACTCTGAAATGTTCTCTCTCAAGCCTTCAACCTTACCCGTGTGTATCTGGGTTACCAGCAGAACTTGTAAGAGGGGTTTTTATTAATCCTTCCACCTTCTGCCTCGGTGTAGCCAGCACTCAGCTCTCAGTTGCTTAAAATACAGCAATGCTGAGGCTGAGCTCTAACATTAAAGCTTGGGCACAAGTGTAAGTTGCTGTGGCTCAATAACTAACCACTGGCCAGGTGTCCATGGCGCTGGGGCGTGTGAGCCAGGCAAGGCATGGGAACTCACTGAGCAGCGATAGTTTGGGGGCTTGTCTGAATTTTGAAGCGGGGATGTGAGCTTGCCAGTATCTCCTGGCAGGATGATAGGCTGGGTCAGGACAGAGTTGTGAACCCTGGCAGCTCACCCAGAGCAGCAAGCTCTGCTTGCAGGCACTGACGGTTTCTCCTCTGGTCTGTGCTGAAGGACGGGAGCGGGAAGAAGCTGCCAGGAGGGAGAAAGCACGCCTCTGGGAGATGGACGAGGACGAGTATGATGCCCTCACCGAGGAGGAGAAAATTCACTTTGATAACAGTATACTGCAAGTCCAGCGTGAGAGGAAGAAAAGGTCTGTAAGCCTTCTGTGGGTGCCTCCCCGGGAGAGTGTCCCCGAAGGGTTTCCCTGCTCTGGAGACCTTGGTTGAGCTCAGAGGGGTTACCAAGGCCAAAAGCATTAATTACCAGCAGCACAAGGATTGCCAGTTCCACCTCCCTGGTTGCCAGCAGAGGAGGCACCTTCCTCCGGTGAGATGAGAACACCCTCTCTCCACTTTAGTGGTGAGCCCTTCGGCTTAGACACAGGCTGCAGGGAGCTGGGCTCTGTGCTTGCCTTGCCACTGTGCTTACAGGTGTCTCTAAGTTAATGATGTTCATTCTCATCTTCTTCATTGCCCCCCTTCTCCAAACCAGAGGGGTTGTGGTGTGGGTTGGCGTGAGGCGCAGCTGTGCTGGCTTGGTTTAGATCCCAGTCCTGGTGTAGGTGAGGCCCTTGCACTGCTGAGCCCCCAGGGTTTTCCTTTACTGAGTGACACCAGCCATAAAGCTGGTTTCTCCTAGGCTCAGCTTCAGCTGCAGCAGCAGGTGAGCCTGGGAGAAGCTCTGATCCAGCAAAGCAGCCCTCTTCAGGAGGATATGCAGGATAAGCTTATGCCTCTCTTAACTCCTGCCTGAAACTTGGGGAGGGACTTGCTTAAAGCGAGCCTGTGTGTCAGCACTTCTTTCAGCCCCAGCTGAAGTTTGTTTCCCTGGATCAGTCAGTCTTTGTCAGCATTGCTGGAGGTGTCCAGGTAGACCTTACTGGAGAAGTAGTGCAATTTAGACCTTGTGACAGCAAAGCCTAGATTTGGCTGGCCCTGGAGGTCCCCTCCCGCCTTCCCTCACTTTGGATGTCCCAGCCTCCCCAGGTTGAGGGAAGCCCACAGAGCTGGTCTAACGGTTGTGCCTGGCCTCAGGGTCAGTGAATGAAGTGCGGGACCACCTGGGATTGCAACAAGCCCAGATTTCTGGTGGTGACTCTCGGGGATGTTTTGTTTGTCTTGCTGAAGGGAGATGGAGCAGCTGGCTCGAGAGCTTGAGGAAAAGGACCGGTGGGAGCTAGAACGCTTCAGGGAGGAAGAAGACCTGAAGAAGTCATCTAAGTGGGCCAAGAGAAAGCTTGGGAAAGACAAAGATAATGCTGCAAGGAAGAAAAGCCAGCCTGGAGTCGGGCAGGTGGGTGGTTGTGTTTATAGAGATGAGTAAAAGCCCTGGGGCCCCTCCTGCTGAGCCGTACCATTCCTGGCACAGCCAGCAGCCACCCGCAGTGCTGGGGATGAGCACCTGGCCGTCGGTAACACACGGGGCTGTGCTGAGAAACAGCAGCCAGTGTTTGATCCTGCTGCTTCTTCACCAGGGGTATTTTTGGATGGGTTTGTTGGGTAGAGCTGCTCGTCTAGGGTCATGCTGCCTTTGAGTCATGGCTTCACATAACTCCAAGCCCTAGATAGTTTTAGTCCAGCATTTCTCCCCGTTCTGCATGTGACTTACACCTCTGAGCCCTGACCTGCCTGGGATGTGGTGTCTTTTGCTACCTGTCTGGCAGGAGATACCACCAGGCCATCTAGGTATTCATTAGCAGCCAGACTTCCCAAAGTGTCAGCCAGACACAGGGATGGATGCTCAGCACATCAGAAATGTGCCCAGAGGACTGCACAGGAGTAAGGAGGTGTCTTAAGTTCCCTGTTTGGGTCGGGGAAGCTGTTCTGTTTCTCAGCTGGTTTGCAGGACTCCTCATCAGTCTGGCACTGGGGAGTTTGGTTTCAGTTGAGCTCAACTGGGTACCAGCTGCGCTCTGAACTGGGATTTTTAGAGCACCTAGCAGAGGCCTCAGATGAGGCATGGGGTGCTATTTCAAAGATCGCCGCTGTCCTGCAGCATTTGAGTTGGTGCTTGGAAATGCTCACCGCTTTTTCCTGCTCCTCCTGCCCAGAATACGAATGCATCCACGAGCAACACCAGCGCATCCATCGGCAACCTGTCCGATGTCACCGAGGGGGGAGAGAGGAAGGGATCTGCAAAGAAGCACCCGGACTCTCTTGCAAGTGTCAAGGAAGATAAGAAAAAGCAGAGCAAGGCTCCCCTGACAGATGACTGCCCAGCGGAGGTTGTACAACCTGCGGACCCAGAACAGGGGGAAACTAAAACCGAGGCGCGGAGTGACAGCGAGAACTTGGCCCTGAGGTTTAAGATCTACGAGGCATCGCAGAAGGATGTCACACATATTTTGTCATCCTGGGACAGGGCTCGGGGTATCCTGCTGTCCCCTCTGAACCAGGAGGTGGTACAGCAGCAAGTCCAAGGCCAGCGCCGTCGCAGGAGCCGAAGGGACAGAGAGAAGGAGCGCCAGGAGAGGATGGAGAAGGAGTGTCTGGAAAAACTGAAGGCTCTTGAGGACTCCAAGTTATCTGGGCTGGAAGGGGAATGTGCAGAAGGGTCAGCCAGAGGCCAGGACGTTGGGGTGCCCTGCTTGGACATCCAGGTGCTGAGCTCTGCAGATGTGACGAGGGCGATCCTGGAGAGTGGCAAGCTGCCAGCAGCAGAGCAGGTAAAGCCCTGTGAGGCTCAGATGCTGAGCCTGCCATGGTCTGGGCCCTGGTGCATTGTGTCCCACCAGGTGACAACAGCACAGAGCCTTGTCCAGGCCACCGATGATGTTCCACGATGGCTTCACAGCAGCCACGTGGCTGGGGAAGTTCTTGCCATCCCTCAGGTCGGGGGAAAGAGGAGGGGTTCTCATCCTCTCTGTTCAGAGAGTTTCCCAGTCTGGAAATCACTCAAAATGGTCCCAGGGCAGCTCCTGGTCATTGTTTCCATCAGCAGAGTCACTCAGATTTCTCTCTAGGTCCCACTTGTAGGTCCTGGCATTGCTCTGGAGCCTGCCCACCCTGCTGGGCATAAAAAATCACTGTACTCCATCTACATAACAAAACCCATTGCCAAAAGCTCAGTGCCTTTCAGGGAGTGTGAGGATGAAGGCGACGGGAGTATAAAAAGGGTTTTCTCTTATGCTTTAGATCCTGGATGACTTGGGACTGGGTCCCTCGGGGCCTCCCATTCCACCTACGGCTTTCTACTCTGTGATCCGCTACCCGGAGAAGCGGATGGTCCCCACAGCAGGAGAAGCCCTCGAGCACTTCGCCTTTGTCGTGCCTGAAGGTGCCACTGCAGAAGAAGAAAAGAAGGACACCAGAAGTCTCTTGGATGTGCCTGCAGTGAAGGTGCCAGGGCAGGATCCAGGCTGGATGGGGGCATGGGGGGCGGGTGGGATGGAAAAAGATCACTGTGGAAGGGCAATGAAGACATGACAGGGCCCCATGTCTGCAGGCATCCCTCCTGTCTGTCTAAAAGAGACAGCTCTGCTTGAAACATGGGGCAGTTCTGTAAGATGAGAGGAAAAAAAAACAGCTAAACCCTTCAACTTCCCTTGAGGAGAGGGTCCTGGGCAAGGAGGGGTGTTGTAGGCAAAACAAAGTCCCATAAGGAAGACCAAATCCATGGGCAGAGGTGGTTGGTGGTTTATTCTCTCTCCCGTCTGTTAACAAACCTGCAGCTTTCTCTCTGGGATGGGGGTGTCTCAGGGCAGGTCTCACCTCTCTCCCTTTCCTCTCTGCCTTGGTGTGAAGGTGTCAGAGGAGCCGGTCACGCCAAGCAGGAAGCGGAGCTCCAGCCGGGCGAGGTCTCCAGCCAGAAGAGGTCTCCAGGCACCGGGTACGGGAGCACCCACGCAGCGCCCCGGGGCGCACCAAAGCGACATGGACATGGTCCCATCCCCGGGGAGATCCGTCAGGTGAGCTGTGAGGGGGAAGGTGATCCCTCTGCTTCACGTCCATCTTGCCAAGCGGGGTCCAGCGTCCCCAGCCCCGCAAGGACCCTCTGCTGGTGCCTCCACGGGATGGCGACTCCATGAGCCGCCTCCTTCTCACGTTTGCTCGTTAGCAATGTCTGAAGCCTCCTCTTTCATTGCCAGGCTGAGCAGCTGCCGCTGGATAGTGCCTGCCCACGGCGAGGTGGAACTGAAGGTCCAATTCAGCTCCACGGTGCCGGGGCAGTTTGATCAGACGCTGCATTTTGAGGTGCTGGGGACGAACCGAATGTACCAGGTGCACTGCAGGGGTACCTGCCTGTATCCCACCATCAGCCAGGACCCCCACGGTAAGGCTGGGGCATGGGAACCTCCCACACTGCTCCTCCCTGAACTCAGAGCCAGGGCTGCCCCTTGTGCCCCAGCGACCTTCTGGCTCGGGCAGAGCATGTTGCCTGAGCCGCCCAGTGTCTCTTCCTGTGCTTGGAGCTGGGAACCAGTACTGGTACTATGGGAGACCTGGGCTGGTCTGAGGGATCAGAATGTAAGTTTGATACTGACTTTGAGCAGATAACCACGGACAATTAAGAGGCATGAAAGTCCCAAGAAGAGCTGTGAAGATTAAGGAACTGCCAGAGCAGAACTGCCTGAGCGCAAGGAGAGGAAGGTCATCGAGGCTGCAACAGAGAAGAGGGCACACAGCCGTGAACTGTTAGACTCTATCAAAAACTGATCATATACGGACACATACGCTTCAAAAAGTCATAAAAAGGCTTGTTGGAACAATAAAGTAGCCATTTTGCACAATTTGGTGTTTGTCATGTCTGTCTCAATACCGACAAATGGTGACCCCGATGTGATCCCAACACTGAGGAAATAAATAACGGCGGCGGGAAGAGCTGCAGAGATGGAGCCCAGTCAAGCGCAGCGGCAGGGAGAGCTGCACAGTCCTGACAACCTTTTGGAATTTGACACCGTCCAGGTGAGCAGCTGGGAACAAAGCAGTGGGTGCCAGCCTCTCTAAGGAGGAGGGTATGATTCTGACAATGTGGCAGTTGGTGCTTCAGCGCAGGGGAGTCAAATTGGGTGACGTAGAGCTCCGAAAAATGTTATTGTGGAGCAAAGCACAAGGGTATGAATCTGGCACTTCCACTGCATTTAGTGTGAGCAAATGGGAAGAACTGAGACAGAAACTGCTTGAGTGTGCCTCTCGGGGTAATAAGAAAGCAACTGACCTCCTTACAAACTGGAGGTTTTTAAAAGAGAATTTAAAAGACTTTAAGGCAGAGAAAGCAAGCTCAGGGGAAACCCCTTATAATCCAGGGGTGTCCTCGGGCCGGATCCCAGCGGCGAGAGATCAAGATACAGATCTAGCGGGGGGAGCCCGTCCCAAATGTAGACGCGGTTGAGGGCGAGGGGATTGTGTGAGGACTCTGATGAGGAAGCACAACGTTAGTTGTTTCCTCCACAAAGACCAAATGAGCAGAAATCCCTCAGGCAGTGCCCCCGCCACCTCCCATCGTGGAGCCCTCTGCTGCCACCTCCCTCTGACGAGGAGAAAGCCCTTCACACTTTGCTTATCTGGTGCAAAAGGAATGGGGTCCCTGCTGATGCACGGTCTGCTCTTGATCTGGAAACATGGAAAGGGGCAGGGAGCGCCTTATTTGAGGCGGCCGTAAGGAAGAACACCATTGCTGTGTTATCTTCAACTGCATGGCGACTGGTACATCAACCCCTGAAAGAGTTAAAAACTGGTCGGGCTGTGGCGGCAGCTGCATGGCATGGAGCCAAGGACGTTATCCAGGGAGGGAGGGGTGGGGAGAGGGGGTTTTATATGCTTTATATATGCCTTCCCGTACATCGCCAGATCTTTACTTCCCTATTCTTTCCGTACATTGTGAGATCTTCCGAGCGCCTCTCCCTACACTTCCCCCTCCCCATGCTCTATAGCTGTATTTGTAATAATTGAAGACTTGTTCTATTTCTTTATATGCAAGGGTGTTTTTTTACTGGGTTTTTTTTCAGCGTTGTTTTTTGTTGTTGTTGTTGTTGTTGGGGGTTTTTTCCGTTCTTTCTCTGTATTAACCACAACTGCTGCATGCTTCTCTGTAGTGCTTGCCCATATGTTGGGTCTGGGCGAGATGGTTCGTCTAGCAGAAGATCCATGTAGACAAAAGCCACAGAAAATCTGCAAAAACTTTAAGAAGAAATGGTTATTTCAGGTTTTAACATCAGGCAGGTATCCATTTAATTAAACCATCTTTTTCCACTGCTGCGTACCCACGCCCAAACACTCTCAGCGACCAGCCCGATTCCCATGTCATCGCTCCCGGTACCATGACCTGAACCAAAGGATAATTTTATGTTGCCTGGGTTGGCATAAAGTGTTTCCACAGGGGAGGTGTGGACTTGTCGCCTCTACAAAATGATTTAAAGCATAAAGGGTGCGGGACAATAAAGACTGTTGCCGGTCTATGGGTATTGTCCCCTTATGACCTTCCCCCTCCCAAGCTGTTGTAGTTTGGCTTTTAGGGTGCGATGTGCACATTCCACTATTGCTTGCCCTTGACCGTTGTAAGGAAGGTCGTGTACTAACTTGATGTCCCATAATGCACGCCATTCTTTTGTACGTCTAGCGATGAAACAAGGGCCGTTATCTGTTTTAATCTCTTGTGGCTTCCCTAATACGGCAATGACACCCTCCCAATGAGCAATAATGTGTCTGGCTGTTTGTTTGCAAGCCATCGTGGCTAATATTGTAGAACTCAAGGTGTGAATGGTTACTATGAGGTATTTATTTAGTTATAGTAGGTCAAATTCTGTTATGTCAGTTTGCCATATTTGGTTGGGGGAGAGACCCCTTGGGTTGACACCTGCTTCCCACAGTGGGTCTTTTTGACAGTAGGGACAAAGTGCCACTATGTTTTTTGCTTGTGACAGAGAAATATGACATGTTTTTGCTAAGGCTTTTGCTCCGAGGTGTAGAAAGGCCTGTAAATGCTTTGCAGCATCTAGTGACCATACACCCCGTGCCGCCTGGTCAGCCTTATGATTGCCTTCTATAATTGGACCAGGTAAGGATTGGTGACTCTTTACATGTGTAAGAAAGGCCTGTCCTACGCGTTGTTGTAGAGCGTCATAAAGCAAAGTCGACACTTCTGTCTGCACAAATCCTACGGTTACCATTTTGTGTACAAGTTTATAAACATATAAAGAGATTGTAACAATATTAATTGGATTCTCTGTTTCCTGCTGGAGTGCCATCTGGACCGTTTTGGCTTCCAACCATTGTACTGATTTATTAGTCTGAGTCCACAACCTCTTTTCCCAACTTCCTTCAGCTTTCCATATGAGTGCAGCTGTTTGTGATGAGGCATCTGTAAAGTATGTTGTGCCAATAAGAGGGTGCATGACTAGAGGTAGTGTAAGTTGTAGCTGAAATGTCTTCAGGTGTGTAACCCATTGTAGACCCTTTCCAGTTGTCATGGAGCCTGGAAAGTCAAAGATGGCACATTGTAAGTCTTCCGAACACGTAACCATGTCGTCCCACACTTGCAGCTTCCAGGGGATGAGTATTGTGTCAGGTTCCTTCCCAAAGTGTTGAAGGGTCATGTTGCATAGGCGTCCTATGAGGTCCGCTACAGCAGCGACTGTGGTAACAAAGGCAGCCTTGTTAGTATTTTGACAAGCCCAGGCTAAAGGCACGGGTTTGCCATCCCAGCCAGACTGTCTGATTATACCAACCATGTGTCATATAGGCTTTTAGGCTTTTTGTCCACCAAACTATATACATCCCCAGGCCTGACCACACATGCTATTCCCAGCTACTGGGGGAAGAGAGCCTCTCAGCTCTAACGCCAATCAAACAGGTCTGAGATGGGTCGGCAGCAGTTGCTAAGCCCAGGCAAGATGCCTGCTGTCCTGATTGATTTTTCCCTGCCACCTTGGCACAACTCAGCAGTTTCTTATCTATCTTCTGAGGCCTATTCTTCATCAAAGTTTATCTGTTTGTCAGAGGCTGTGTAAGGCCGATGCCTCCCAGATCTCCCCTTTCTTGTTTTTTTTTGCAACGGCACCTGCAAGACTTGTTTGAGAGCTGTATCAGTTAAAGTTAGACAAACTTCAAAAACGCAGCATACTTACAATAGTTCCACAGAAGGCTAAAACAGTACAGCAGTTACAATTACTGATTAAAAGTGTAGGCTAATTTCAGTACTGATAAATAAGAGATATGACTAAATATTACAAAATAAACAGTAAGGAAAACAGGGAGTAGCACGCCTTTCCTTGATGCCTATTTGGCATCTTGTAGTCTGTCAAACTTCTGGGTAGATCTTTAATACCCCATTATAGACATGAGGGATCAACTGAGGTACTTCATTCTGCAGAAGAAGCGTCATCAAGATTGTGAATTAGCGATCTACAGCAGCCAGCCTGTGTTGGAGAACGGCTTGCAGAGAGCAAGGCCATAGCTCCCTGCAGGAGCTGGTCGGCCATAGCTCCCTGCAGAAGTCGGTCCCAGCCACCTGAGGTAAACAAAGGAAAGAACCCAGGGTACAGTTATGTAAACAAGGATGAAGACCCAGGGCTCAGTTGTGCTGGCGAGGATTGTTGTGAGAACACAGAGATAAGTTGGGGGCACATTACGACCTTGGGGGTGAAGGAAAACAACCCTGGGAGAGAAGCAGGTTCACAGCAAGAAAGATGTTTATGCATACCAGAGATGCCACAAGGGGCTGGGATATTATAATGTGACCTTTTAGATGTACCCAATGGCTGAGATATTATAATGTAGTTTCTTAAATGTATCCAATAGAGTTGCAAGTAGTGTATTGTAGAATGCTTATATAAGGTGTGATTTCTATCAATAAAGTTGAAGCTTGCTCTATCATTCACATTGAATCGGCTGCTTGCTTCCTCCGCCCGCCGCAAGCCTGCTCCTCCGTTACAGACATGTAAAGCAGTTACCTGGTAAACGAACGCTCCTTTGGACTCTTATATTCCATCCCTTCCTGAACCACCTGTGAACTCATCTAGTCTGGACTTTTTTCTTTTCCCTGTTAAAATAAATTTGACCGTTATTACAATTATAGCTTGACCTTTATTACAAAAAGACAAAAGAAACAAAACAGAGCCAGTATGAGAAAATGCATACTGCTTGCAGATGCAAAGGTGGACATGCTATTTAAGCAAAACCAGTGTAGAATTCTTCCTACAAGTCTTAGGGAAAGTTTCAGGATGACATTTGTCTTCTCTTAGTTTTGCGCGTTTACCATCTGCACCCAGAAAGTCTGTTGGAGAAAACACTCTGTCATTTCTGCTGATGTCAGATGCACTCGAATGTAACTGCCATCCGACAGCCCATCGAAACAAAAATGTGAAAGCCAGCCCAAATTCATTGAGCCAAACCCCCACTCCTCTTTAAGTCTCATTGTTCTCTGTCAAACTCTTCCCTAGATAAGGGAGGCCAAAGGCACCCTGCTTGTGTCAGAAATGGCAGCGGGACCAGGGGAGCAACGGTCCCCCTGTCTCCACTCTAGTGAGGCCGCTCCTCAAATACCGTGTTCAGTTTTGGGCCCCTCGCTAGGCCCACGCGGACACCGGCGTCACTACCAGACAGACCCTGACAGGCTGGAGCGCGTCCAGAGAAGAGCAAAAAAGGTGGTGAAGCGTCTAGAGAACAAGTCCTGTGAGGAGCAGCTGAGGGAACTGGGGG